CTGCAGACAATTAACTTGTCAAGACAGATGGTGATGATCTATGGTGCCTATAAAAATTTGCACATCGTATTCCTTGGCATGAAGGATGGGCTATTTCTGTTGGTGTAGCAATACTTGCGCCAGTCTCTGTGTCAGGGAGCAAGGGCTGAATCCTTCTAAATTTGTTTTTTTCTTTCATTCAAGAGGAGTAAAAGGATTTGCAGCAGCAGCAGCAGCAATGGAAATGTCAGTTCGGTGTGGGGGTTTTTTGGCAACTTTAGCTGAGAAATGTTGAGGAGTTTTTCCCTCATTAAGGATTAATAGATGCTTCTGACAAATTACAGAACGCTCAGTGATATGAATTATCCAAGACTGGTTAAAAGATGTTGTCAGTCCCTTTTCCAGAAGACTTGGCTTCCTGCTGGAGGGTAAATACCTCAACAAGACCAGCTGTAAAGCCACTGAGGTGCTCCCAGTGAGACTGGTGATACTGGGCACGAGGCTGAGCCACAGCCTGCGGTGCAGCCTTGCCAAACAGAATTGTGCGGCTGCTTCTGTTATGTAGAAAATAGTCCAGAAATCTGAGTTTATTCCCTTCTCTGCATTTCTTTGAAGAAAGCAGCAAAGCAGCTCAGTGTCTGATGCAGAGTGGGCATGTGTGATGTCTGCATGCCGTGAATTTATGTTCAATAGCTTCAGTGGAGCCCGAGCATCGCTCAAGTGTCACAAAGCAACGACGATCTCATCCTCTACTTCAGTCAAAACAAAGTTGTGACGCTCTTTTCTTGTCCCTTGGTGACAATGGAAAGGGGAAATAATTGGGATGGATGCTTTTAGAGCAGGTCCCACTGCTGTGTGTGTTTTATGGTACAGAGCAGCCTGATGCTCCTGTAGTTAAGTCATAAAGTAATGCAGTGTTCCGAGGGGCACTGTCCCACTGTGGGCAGAGGAAGCTCATTTTAAATTAAGTTTAGGCTGAGGTTGATTCTCTAACAGTTTCTGACTGTGGTCAGGTTCCTGGCGTGTGACTGTGGCCCAGCTGCAGCTCTGGGCAGAGCCCAGGGGCTCCCTGTGAGTCCCCAGGGCTGGCAGTGCTGCAGATTTCTGACACTCCTGTCTCAGGTGTGCTCCTCAAGAGCTGGCAGGCCCAGGTGAGAAAGTGTCCCCTCTGCAGCAGGGCCAGGGGTCTCATTGGAGGGGGGGAAATTCCAGATCTTTGGGGCTTCCTGGAAATAATTTCTGAGTGAGGAGAAAAAGGTGATGGCCACAAGGAAGTCACAGAGTGGAAATGCCTCAGTGAAAAACCAAAGTAAATTCCTGTGCCTTTGCAAATAGTTTGATCAGGGTGATCAAACACCTGAGCATCCTGGATGTGCTGGCTCTCTCTAGGTGTGGACTAAAGGAGAAATAGAGGTGTGTGCCAGGATTTCTGGGTGAAATCCTCTCTCATGCTCCCATCTGTGCTGCCTTGTGTGCTGAGCTCTTCTCCCCCACCCGCCGGTGCTGGGCTGTGCCTGCAGAACCTCGTTGCAGATGAAGGGTGTTCAAGAGCTCAGCTTGCTGCTAAACAGGCAGTTTTCTTCTTCAGGGTTGCTTGTCTGACACCTTTTCTGCACATTAAATTCACACAGCACAGCATTTAAAAACAAGGGAAGCAGATTCTCTCCACGCCTCACAGCAAATCTTACATAAACAAAAACCTTCACGTCTTCTGTTGTGATTTAACACTCGGGCTTTGGCAGACTGGAGCAGCCCAAATCTCAGCACTGTGGCTTGGGCAGTGCCCTGGGGCACCTCTTGGGGCTCTGAGGAGGGGACAGGCACTGGTCTTGGATTAGGGAGTGGCAAATGCCCTGAAGGTGTCCCTGGCTCTGGTAGTGGCAGAGCCATCACTCAATATTTTGTGGTGGCTGGTGGTTGTTCCTTGTTCTGCAAATTGATTTGCCTCTCTCTCTTTGGTGCCTGTTTCCCACCTGGTTCTTTGGCTGTGTCCCAAACCCAGGGGTGCTCCTGTTGGATGTGTAGCAGCTGGGTTCCCATCCCTCTTTGGCTCTGGTGACTCTCTGCTGGTGAGGACATTTCCTTCACGTTTTCATGGTCCATCCCTGAGGTTCTGATGGCTCTTCCCTGCTGTTTGCTCAGCTGAGAGAATGAAAGCTGAGACTGGTTACAGCTCCCCCTCCAACATTATATTCCTTTTCCTTTATGAAGGCCAATTACTTTTATTAACTCTCTTAAAACACATTATCAGCTCTGGCAGAACAAACCTGCTGCAGGAGCAGAGCCCTTCCCACCGTGAATACCAATGACTGATTTAATGGATGGGTCCCTCTTCAGCAGTCCTTAATATCTGGAAGAAGAAAATGAAGTTATCCATGTGCTTCTCAGTCTAGCAGGGACCATAGAGAGCAGGGAATGATCACAAAGCCTCAGCCTGGAGCAGAAAGAGAATGAAACTCAGTGAGTCTTAAGGGCTTTAGGAGGCATCTGGCTGAGCTGCCTGAGCTCTGGCTGTGGGTGTAGGATCTCGATGCCATGAGCTGTGTGTTTTCTCTGCCTCGTGAGTAAAGTGATCCCAGGGAGGCTGTAAAACCTTGGATCCAGGCCAAAGCCCAGCACTTACCAGGAATCTTTCCACTGCCCTCCCTGGGGCTTGGATGAGTCGGATCAGGAGATGGGTGAGACCTTCTAGGGTGTGTTTGTCTGAAATGTGAATATCTTGCTCTTGAATATCAGGAAGTGGACTGAGTGGCACCTTGGCTGGGTAAAAGTTGGCCCATCAGGATGAGAACCCACCTGGGAATTGCTTTCTCCAAGCAGAGGTATTGAAGGAGAGGGATGGCACTTCAGAAAAGGTGTGGGTGACTGAAGGGCTTCCCCAGGACACAGCACCTGCCACTGCTGTGTGGGGTGAGGAACTCAGACCCTGTTATCCCCAAACCTTGCTTATCTCAACCCATGGCATGGCTGAGGTGATGATGAGGATGGTGATGATGATGGCTGAGCTGGGAATGCTGTTGTTCCTGCCAGCTGCTCTGCTTGGATTAATCTTTGCTGTGTGGTTTGGATGTCCCAACCCAAGGTCAGCCACCCTGGTGGTCACACTGACCACTTTCCTTTCTGTTGTTGCATGTAAAGGTTCTCCCTAGGAACTAGCCTCTGTTTTCCTGAACAATGAAAATGCAAATTCAGGATGTCAGCTCTGTACCCAAAAATAAGATTTCAAAACCATTTAGCATTTCAGAGTGGTTCTGTGACAACATGAAGACTTGCAGTTGTCTCTCATGATGAGAGACAGGCAGAGCTCCTCAGCTCACACTCAGATCTGAGCACCAGTGAGTGCTTCATCCCAAAACTTTATAATATATGTGTTATTTGTACTGCTTTTCAACTTCAAAGAGCTTGGAAAACATTAATGCAATTTCACAAAAGGCTTCTGTTCTTGCTGCCACTCTGCTGATGGGGAAAATGGAGATGAGCCTGAGTCTGGCTGGGGCTGCTGGGGCTGAGCCCACCCCAATGGTGGGGATCAGGGCAGCCCCTCCAGCCAGCACAGAACTGCTGGGGAATTTCTCCACATGTTGAACATGCCATGACTTCAGACCTCTTCAAATGGACCAGAGATTTTTCTGTTAGGAATTCTGATTTTCTTTAGGATTGTGAACAGCTAAACACAGAGGGAAGAGCACTTCAGTTCCCCTTTGTCCTGATTTTTAAATTGCCAGGTAAAAAGAGCACACTGTAAGCCACATATGTTTTACTGCTTGGGGGGAAAATGCCGAGCAGATTCTGAAAATTGAACTGTAAAAAAAAAAAGAAGAAAAGAAGAAACCCCCCACCTCTTGGTGCTGGGGTACCATGAGGGAGAAAAGGGCTTGGCTGGAGGGGCTGGGTGAGGGTGTGGGGCTGGGGGACCCCCAGTGCTGCTGATGGTTGGACTGGGGGACCCCCAGCCCCCAAAGCGCCTCAGGCAGCTGTGGCAGAGCCCTGCAGGCTCTCGGCAGCAAAGCAGCGCCCGCAGCATCCCCAGCCCTGCCCGGCTCTGATCCTGCAGCAGCAGCAGCAGCTCCCGAGGCACCGGCGGGGCCCTCCCGGCGCTGCCGCTCCTCCAGGCAGGATCCCTTCCCTCCCAGCAGCTGCTCTGGAGGATTTTCCCTGAGATGGAGCTTTGTGTACACTCACATGTGCACCGAGCAGAGCAGGGTGTTTTTACAAAGCTCATTCACGGGGAAGGAATGAGAGCTCCGTGCAGCAAACAGCACCCAGCACAGCACCCAGACCTGGCAGAAAATGATGGGCCAAGTGATTCATCCATCAAAATAATTTCCCAGAAAATCATGCTACCAGAAGATTATGCTTTTTATTAAAGGAAAATAACACTCTTCATGTTCAGTACTTCTTGGCTTCGCCACTGAAGTTTAAGCAGAACACAAGACTCTGTTTTGTGGGGTTTTACAGTTGATTTAAAAGAATGGAACTGCAGGGTGTAAATTTGGAGGGGAGATTTTTATCCCAATGCTATGCAAAGTTCTGTTTTGCTTTTTATCAAATGTTAACATTTGAATAGAAAGCATAAGGATCTCCAACTTACCCTGGGGGAACAAGCTAACCCTTCTTAGGGAAGGAGAGTGGCATAAATGGGGACATTGACTCCCCACAGTGTCTCTCTCTGACCAAGTAAGGTATAAAAACCTGATATCCCTCGTGGATCTATGCCCAACTACACCAAACATCTTCTCCATAACAAAGCTGTCTCCTCTGTGACCCAAGCTGTCTCAGACACACATTTCCCCTCAACTGCATCAGCACAGGGCAGCCCCAAATTGGCACAGAGCAGTGCCATTCTCATACACCCATGATGGTGTTAAGTGGTCTTTCTGCTTTCTTAAAAAAAGAAAAAGAAAAAAAAGAATCAAAAAAGAGAGAAAAAAGAAAGGAAAAAAAAGAGAGAAAAAGAAAAAAGCAACAATTGCAATCGAACATGCCTTGGTTCAGTAATGACTCACTTGGTGGAGAGCACATTGTATAGTGAGACCCAGGCATTTTAAAAAATACAAACATTTTCAGAACACTTTCTGGCTATTTTTTCATGGGTGCAGGGACCATCAGTGCTCGGGTTCTGCATCCATGCAGGTCTCCCAGGGGTTCTGGGGGAAGCGGGGCAGCGCGATGAGGAGGAGCGCGATGCCGCAGACGAAGAGCAGCACGAAGGCGGAGCAGGCACAGGCGAAGGACCAGGAGTAGCTGTACTTGATCCAGGCTGTCTCCTTGCTGTCAATCATCCTCTTCACGGATTGTCTCATGACTTCTACAGAGATGATGATGCAGAGACCTGAAGGAAGAGAGGAGCAGTGGGTTGAATAACCAGCTGTCAATTTTTCATCCTTAATTAACCGCCTCATCTGTTGTTTTGCATACAGGAACTGCAGTGAGATTCACAGGTGAGTCACTGACTTCAGTGTTTGAAGGAACCAGTGCTCAGAGCTGCCAGGAGCTCTGCCATACCTGAGGTCAGCCACTGACTTGTTGAGTGTGATCTTTTAGGCAGGCTTGGATGGGAAATTCAAAGTGGGGGAGGAATAATTGCATTCCCTGGGAAGCTTTTTCAGAGGTTGAGGAAGATTTTAGATTGAGGTGACAATTTGCACCTCTGTCTTTCACTCATTGTGGCATGTCAGAGTATTCCTGGCTCATGTACAAGTGCAGTCTTCGTGTGCTTGGGAGACAATTGTGTGTTTTGGGCCTGGATCAGCTGTTTTGTTGGTTTGAATCTTAATAAATGAGATAAAATATTGTATGTCCCTGGTTCAGACTGGGACAGACAGTGAATATACTTGAATGGAGTGAATATACTTTTAAAGGGGGTTGGAGAAAACACAGAGCAGCTGCTGAACAGGACATTGTCACACCACACAGGGACCTGTGGGCTGTGGCCAGGAAGAAAATGGCTTCAGGGTATTTTAAAAGTGTCTCTGTCCCCTCAGGATCTATCTTAAATTTCTCTGTGTTGTCCTATGAACCAAGCACAGAAATGTGAGCAGCTCTCCCCATACCTGCAAAGGTGTAGAACATGGATGCTGGCTTCAGCAGATAATCCCTCTTCTTCCTGAAGGACAGGAGCACACAGATCGTCCCCATGATGGCAAAGCCAACACTGAAGATGGCAATGGCTGCAGCTGAGATGCTGTATTCTGCCAAAGGGAAAAAACCACCAAAAATTACATAGTGCACATTTGAGCCTGCTGCCATCCGCTGTGGGGATGTTACAGTAGCTCACTCTGAGAAATGCTGGCTTTGGTGAATTGTTTTCTTCAAGTGATAATGGGGACAAGTACTGGCCATGTATCTTTGGAATGTGAAAAAAGCAGAGTATAAAAGAAAAAAAGCAGGTATAAAAGCAGAGCAGGAACGGGAAAACGCTTTCTGAACACCCCCTGAGGGTGAGGTTCCCCTCCAGGGCACCTTTGCTCACCAGCCCACCTGTATGGGGCTGCTGGAGCTGCTTTGGCTCTGCCATGGAAATGTTCTTGTCAAAGCCTTGCTGAGCTCCATGCTCTGGTTCCCTCCCATCACCCCACACCCTGCCCCCAGAGTAAATAGACTAGCTCAATAGCTGGAATAGCTCTTTCTGCTTTTATTCTGTGCTTTCTGCAGAGCCCTGGCCCTGCACTGTGCTGGTGCTGTCCCAGTGCCCCGTGGGCTCAGCACCTGGGTGGGCACAGCAGGCCAGGGTGAAGTGTTTGCACAGCTCATTTTTATTCCTTTGCCTTCACAACAGAGATTTCCAGCTCTGTACAAACCCAGCTTCTTCAGGACATGGGATTGAACCCTCCCCAAAAGTCCTTACAAAAGGTTTTTGTAAGCCATGTGCTGGACACTCCCCCCAGCCCAGCACTGCTCAGTGCCTGGGTGGAGGGGGAGAGTTGCTAATTGAGTAATTCAAACCTTCATTTGCATATTGAGTTCGTTTTCAGATTAGTTTAATGTTTAACACATGTAGCCATGCATGAACATCACACTGCCTGATGATATTTGCCTTTCAAGCCATTTAAATAAAATATCTCCCAGGCAAAATCATGAAGAATTTTTTTTTGCCTGTTACTAATTAGCTCCCATCCAAATGAGCTATTTCTGCAAAGGGGAACAGCAGATTACTCTTTGTTCTCACTGCTTTTCATATCACTGTTTTATTATCATTTTCTAAATGTTTCTCTTTTCTCTGTGCTGGAACTGCCTGAAAGTGTTCGTTTCATTGTAAAATCTTTTGCTGGGCTTAAGATTTTCTTTTTTGCCCCAAAGAAAAGAAGTTCTTCCTGACTTTTTTTTTCCCTGAAGAAGAAATTCTTCCTGATTTTTTTCTGCATTGCCCTGAAGGCATTGGGTGCATTTTGAAGATCAGGTGGCTGGATTAGATAGCAGATAACTGAGCAAAAGCAGGTGACTCAGATATACACTTTTCTATCTAGTTTAAATTCCTGTCTTTCCTGTCTTAGGAAGCTACTTTTTTAGGGAACCTATCTTCAGGGTTTTCCACAATTATAATTTCTAGAAGCAGAGCAGATTAATACATGCAATGTATCCAATGGCTCCCATTTCCCACAGTAAATATGTTGTGTTGCAAACTGTGAGGGAGTTTGTCCCCAAAGAGAGGATGAGAAAGAGAGAGGAGTATGTTAGGAGAGACCTCAACATATTTGGACTTATTAAATATGTGAAATTTGTCCATGGAAGACAATTTTGCTGTAGACACTGACAGTTCATGTCTTTGCAGGATCCCTGTTCCTTCCATTCATCGATTGCTCTATTTTTTACATGACTTTCATATAAAATCAATATGAACCATAAAATTCCTAATGGTCCTCAGAGAGCCTCTGCACTTCTTTTCAGGTCAGGACTCTGCTTAGGGTATGATTTATTCATTTAGGTTTTATTAATATCTTCCCCTTCAATGGCAAAGGCTGAGTGTCATGGATAGTGCCAATGTTGTAAAGTCATTTTTATCCTGGAAGGACTTTTTGCAGTTTTCCTGGGTATTGACATTGTTATATATTTGTGGGACAACTTATGTAAAATCATGTTTATGGGTGTGATCATATATAAAAATAATTGTCCCCAGGAAGCTGGGATTTGACCTTGTCCAGGGCATTTTCCACATTTTCCCCAGCTGATGGTGCCTGTTAGAAATTCTGCTGCTTTCAGCAGAACCAGGGCTGAACCCTCATTTTGGGGACCCCTTTCCATTAAATCTTGTGCGCCCATCACTTCTTACAACATTAGGAAAATATTCTTTTGGAATCATTCTTACCTTTCTGGGTGGTTACTTCAAATATCTCCGAGGTCTCTCCTGGAGTGAAGTGCTTGAAGTAGGAGCAGTTGTGGTCTGAAAGAGAAAAGAAAATTCAATTTTGTGCTCTTGGAAGCCTGTGATAAAATGCAGTAAGACTGAATTAGCTTTTTATTGATGTACCAAGCTTGCAGTGGTTTGGAGGCTCCCTACCCTTGGTGATACTGAAGAACTGGGGTTGGATCTGATTTCTCTGGGAGCAGATGAGGACACCAGGCTCCAGCATGGACAAGGCTGAAACCCCTCTGATACCTTTTGTATCCCTCTCAGAGCTGATTGCTCTCCTGCTTAAAATATGAATTACAGATGATTTTTCTCATTGTGTCTTTGGCCATCACACGTTTCTGCCTCTCAGAGCTGCAGCATTTCCTGGGGCTGGGATCTGCTGTGCCCACAGCTGAGCTGGCAGCTCCCTTCCCTCCCCAACCCACTCCATGGTGACCTTGGGGTGCAGGCAGGGAGGATGGAGGGTCCCACCCACCTTTCCCTTCTGCTCTTCCCTCCTGCAGCTCACAGAGCCCTGTGTGCCAGTGGGGGGAATTTGCTGATCTGGGGGTCCCAGAGATGAGGCTGCTGCAATGCAGCACAGCACATGGTGTTTGACTAAAATAGGGATGCTAAGAGCTTTTTTTTTTTTTTTTGTGGCTTTCAGTAAAAAAAGAACAAAGCAAAAAAGACCAAAGCTTTTTGAAGCCCAAGCAGTTGCCCAGGGAAGGGAAGGCTGTGTGAGCCAAGGGCAGAGAGGCTCTCATGGCAGGCATTATCCAAGTTTGATCCCATCAGAGCAGCATTATCCAAGTTTGATCCCATCAGAGCAGCCTGTTAAGTTAATTTGATAGGACAGCAGAGTTAGATGGAGGGAGCTTTATGAAGTTCCTGTGTCTGGACTTCACATGAGCACTGCACCAGGTACGAGGCATTTGTAGGAGGGTCAGGAAGCAAGCAGGGATCAGGATTGTGGGGCAGGGGGTGTGGGGATGCTATTTCTGCCATACTCAGCATCCTACTAAGAAATTTTATTAGCTGTGACACTGAAAGGAAACTTGATGGAGGACACCCATCATTAGCAAGTGGTATTTCTATTCCTATGGGGAATCCTCTGATTCTCTATATTATCCAAGACCACTTGAATAAACATGGAAATTTTCCTGTGCAAATAAGAAAATGCTTTCATGGTGTTTTGTGCGATTTGAACTGCAGTATATGCTGGGATTAGCCTCCAGCTCATGCTCTGTACCACATTTGTACAAGCTTGCTTCTCTTTTTTAGCTTTAGTACATTAGGGAAGGTGTTAGCTCTCTCCATGGCCAGGATCCTTGCTGCTCCTCAGCCTGTGAGGGTCAGTGAGGGCAGCAATGGCACTGGGGCCTCAGCGGGATGGGGAGGCTCTGCTGAGGAGGAGCTGCTGACTGGGCCTTGGCAGCAGCAGGGAAGGGTGGAGGGTGTTCTGCTATTTATAACTGATTTAATTGAGGCTTTGCAGGGGTGTGGAGCTCAGAGAGCAGTTGCTGGCCAGGAATTTGGCTGGAAGGGTGGCACTGGTGGGGACGCGCTGAGCAGCGCCAGCCCTGACTGCGCTGTGTCCTGCTGGGCCGGGCTGGGCTGGGCTAAGCTGGGCCAGGTCAGGCTGGGCTGAGCTGGGCTGGGCTGGGCCGGGCTGGGCTGGGCCAGGCTGGTTTGGTTTGGTTTGGTTTGGTTTGGTTTGGTTTGGTTTGGTTTGGGCCGGGCCAGGCTGAGCTGAGCTAGGCTAAGCTAGGCTGGGCTGGGCTGGGCTGTGGGACACACTCAGCACCTGCCCAGCACCCCTGCAGCACCCAGGGGCTCCCAGTGGCCCAGGCTGTCTGAAACACAAAAATGGGGCCCCTTCCCTGAGGGGCTTCCCTTCTGTTAAATAACAAATTTAGCACCAGCTTCCAGAAGGTGCTGGGGGGAAGCCTGGGAGAAGCTCTGGCCCTGTCTCCACCCAGGCTGGACAGGCACAGGGTGAAGCCTGAGCCCGGCTGGGTGCAGGACATGCAGGGACTGCTGTGGGTTTCTGCCTGGGAGCATTTCAGTGCCTCCTTACAGCACTAATTTCTCTGGCAGAAGGTCCCTGTGCTCTACCTGTTGGTTCTTGTGGTTTTTTCTGTCATGTAAATGGTGGCTGCTGGAGTTAGTGACTCAGAGAGGATTTATTTTCCCTCTCCCAGGAGATGGGTAATTGCAAAGCAGCACTTTTGGGCCTGTTAGGGGAAGATTCCTTGGAGACACTCTTATCTACTTAAGTTTATAAGCTGACTTTTATTTCATCTGCAGATTCTCCTTGCTGGAGACAAGGTTAATGTTTAGCTCTGGAATCTCCTGACCTGTTCTTTATTATCCTTGCAAATGACTGGAAGAAATACATTTGAACTCAGCCCTCTGTGACTCTAATTGTGAATTTTGAGCCTCAAAGCAGTGGTTGTGTACCTCCACCAGCAACTCAGTGGTGTCAGAGGCTGAGCACTGTGTCTGGGACACTTTATTTTGGGATTGCTTGGTTTAGCTTTTCATTAATTCTCTAAAAAGCCTGAACTCAAAGGAGCCCCCAGGCATGCAGTGCAAAGGTGGAGCCATCCAGACTTGGTGTGGTGTGAGCACAGCACAGCTCTGTGTCCACTGCAGGGGAGCCAAACCAGCCCAGCCCACCCTCCATCCCCATAAACCTTTCAGAGGTGGATTTGTCTGCAGGAGATGGAGCTGCCTCTGTCCCTTATGGCCCTTAGCAAAGCTCTGCCAGTGTATGACAGAAGGGCCATCACACAAGTGGGTTGGTGGTTTTGGAAAATGCACTTGTTGTGGGAAAATAGAGCTAGATCTGTTTTGGTGAAATGCTGAATTGTTTTCAGTTTGAAGGTGCTCCCATGCTCTGTTGAGCTGGTGATATCTGTTCCAACAAGTCTGGTATTCAGCAGAGCTGAGGCACTGCAATGACTCTGGGGCCACCATGAATAAGAGAAAAGCCCATTTATGCCACAGCACATTTACATGTTAGATAGGATTTCCACTGGGGTTGATAATGGATGGACACTGTGGCAATCTTCCTTTCTCCACACCCCAATTCCATCATCTCTGCCACGAGGCCACCCCAGGGTGCTGATGGGGACAGTCCAGGGCTCTGTGGTCACACAAACTTCAGGGTTGTAGTTTGGTTTATCACAGAGTGTCCTCACCTCTCACAGCCTTCCTGCTCCCTGCCCCTCAGATCCATCACTCCTGGATGAAGCCATGGGATGCAGGAGAAATGCAATCTCACTGAGCTGTGGTTGAACCTTGGGGAATTGCAACTTGGAGACTTTGGGAGGGAAAGAAAGGCTGGAAAGACCATGAGATGTTCAGGCCATGCACAGTTTTGGGTGGCAGCTGTCCCCTGCAAGTACTGGAGTGACAGGCTGGGAAAGGGCTGGAGCCCACCTTGCTCTGGAACCTGAGATGGACAGAGCATGAGGAGTTTGTGGCAGGGTGGATGCTTGGAAAATCCTGGGTTTTAGTGTGGGGTTTCCACTTGTGCTGAGTTTGGGAGAGTTGTGCTGAGTTTGGCAGCCCTTAGAGGATGTGCTAAGGTGAGGGCTGAGCCATGGAGGGGCCAGGCCTTGGGCTCTGACCTGGCCAACGAGGCCTTTGACACTTTGACACACACAGAGCTTTGGAGATGGTCTCTCCAAGCAGTTTCATTTCACACCTGTCCTGCAGGGTGAGTCTCCTGTAGCAGGGAACAGAGCCCTGCTGACAGCCCATTTGCCCCAGCACTTCTCCTCTCCAGCTGCCTGTGCTCAGGTTCCTGCATTCACAGGGCCCTGTTTAAGCTGTTGAACTCCCTTGCTGCTGCCCAGATCACAGGAGCCACTTTTCAGCACAGCACCAGCACCAGAGTTACGGGCAGTGACACTGAACTGCATTTACAGCTGGCAGTAAAATGCCCCAGTGCCCACCGACCACAGTTTAAAATGTCTCAGTATTAATCTGAATTTGCCTGGTTTTAACAACCATCTCCCTGATCTTTTTATTTGTTACAGCAGCATGCTGAACCCTTTTCAATTTGTCAACACCCTCGGATGGGTGCTGTAAAATTTTAAACCTCTGCCTAAATCACAGCCCTGCTTTGTGGACTGCGAGCCAAGTCATCCTCCCCACTCTGCGCTGTGCTGAGCTCAAAACCCAATAAATAACGTTAATCATGCCATCCATTTCCTCCACAGGGAGCGACTGGTAAATGGTTATTAATTCAGTGATAAATTCTGATGCCTCTTTCCCAGTCCTGGCAGTAATGTCTGGTTATATCTCATGATTTTCAGGAAAAGCAGCGCCTGCATCTGCTCTTTTACTGCGCGTTTGTTCATTCACATTTTCTTGGCTGCTGCAGGTTTCACAACCCTGGTGTTTCCCTGCCGACATCCCTTCCCAGAAGTGTGAAATCAATCGAGCAGGAGCCGTGCGGCCGCAGCCTCACTCAGCAGCCCCAGCCCCGGGGCTGCTCTCCCCTCCCTCGCTCTGATCCTCTCCCGGCTCTAACAGGGATGAAGGTATTTATGTTATAAATGAGGTGCGAATTTCACCCTCTGGAACGTGATTACGACGCAGGCTGTCATCCCAATTCCCAAATATCGTTTAAAAACTGGGATGAAGCAGCTCTGGTGTGGGGGCCAGCCCAGCCCCTCCATAATTCCCAGCTCCCCTGTGCCTGGCGGAATGCGGCGCTGGGATGTGATTCAACGTCTGTGCGAGCACATGCTGATGTCTGTCAAAGATAGCGGCTGCTTTCCTGTGCCCTGCCTGCGAATCTGCTTTGTGCAGACAGCTGGATATTTATGAGTTTTATATTTACCCCACGGTCGTGCAGTTTTGCTGTTTATCCACCAATTTCCATTGTTTTTCCTTTAGTGGGAGTTCTCAGTGCGTGGGGGAAGGCGTGCAGCGAGGAATACGTCTCTAGGCACGTAAGTACCTTCCTGAGAGACATTAAGCATATGGATGACACACTCCCAAGTTTGGTTAGAGGCAGATCCACATGCTGAGGCTCAGCTTTTCTCTTCACAACATGTAATTTGGCCAAAGAGATAAAGAATTGCAGTAATACAGGCAATATACAGTCAGCCCAAGCAGGAAGATTTTTCACAGGAAATTTCCAAATATGTGTTAACATATATTTCATTTCAAGCAGTGAGTCTAACACGAAGGCAATCCTGTTATTTCTGTTCTGGAAAGCATCCAGTACCCTATAAGCCTTCTAAAAAAGCAGCGTGGCTCAGTCACAGAGGGAGTGTATTAGTGCAAGCGGCGCGGATGTTGCTGACTTGGCAATCAGCAAAAACATAATGAGCTCCTTTAACCAGGGAATGGAGCAGCCTTCCCGGAAAGCTGCTGTGCCCACTGCCCTCCCCATCCACTGAGCTGCAGGTGCCTCTGGTGAGAGGTGAGGAGGCTCCCTAAGTCCTTGAGAAATTGATTCAAACTCCATTTATGACTCTTTTTTTTCTGGAAGTTGACAAACCATCTCTCCCTGCCTTGTGGAATGGCTGTTACTGAACAGCTCAGAGATAATCCACCATGGATGGCTGTTCCTCTGGGATTATATGGATCTGGAAATCCTAAGGATCCAGCTGGGTTTGGTGGACCCGTAAATCCTCACTCTTGGCTGCTGCTGTCAGCATGCCTGTAGGACCCTTGGCTGGGGTTCAGCAAGATTCCCTCCATCCCAATCTCCCTTTGTGATTCCCACTGTGCCCAATCCTCCTCCCCTTCTCCCCACCACTGTCGCTGCTGCACGGGAGACACAAATATGGTCACAATCAGACCAAGGCAACACAGCAAAGCAGCCCCAGCAGGAGTTGGCAACTCATGGAGGTGTGTTTGCACACCACCATGAAAACGACCCCATGCACCCAACCCCAAACTCAGTGCCCACTTTCCTTCTGCCACAGAGGACATGGAGCCTTTTTCCTTTGCTCTGTCCTCCAACCTCCCAAGCAAAGCCTGCTGTGATCCTGGTGCTCACGTACCTCCTGGCAGGCTGATGGGCCCACAGCTCTTCTCTTTGGGACTCGGCTCCTGCATGAAAATCCGCTTGGTGCAGAGTCTCCAGAGCCCGAAATGCGCCGCCTCGCAGCTGGTGGTGTTTTCCTCCAGGCTGGGGCTGAGCACGGCCCAGTGGTCGGTGACCACGGCGGCGAAGAGCAGCGAGATGCCCACCAGGATGACCGAGAACGTCAGCCGCACCTTCAGGGGTTTGCTCTCGTCCATCTCGCTGGGCACCGGCGCTCCCGGCCGAGCACGGCGGGGGATTCGCCAGGGCTCCCGAAATCCTGGCGCATCTGAGAGCCTGGAAATGTCAGCCCCGGGCCTCAGGCAGCTGCTGGGCTGTGTCAGGAGGCTCCCCGTGCACAGCTCAGCTTTCGGCCCCGTCCCGCCCGGGTTGTTTTGGATTCCCACGCCCGGCCGGGCGGGCGCTGCGGCCGCCGCGCAGGGGCTGAGATCTCTTCACTTGCAGCATGCCCAGAAATAGGCATTAATAGGATGATTAACTTTTCAGCGAGGTTATAAAAACAGCTGTGTTTATAATAGTGCTGGGCCTGAGTGCAGACTGATCCTCTGATCCTAAACAGCATAATAGCCCTGGAGCTGTCACCCCACGCCTGCAGCTCACAGGAGCTCAGACATGGACCTGCCTCCAGGTCCACCAGAACTGTGAGAGCCCAGAACTGTGCCAGAGAGTGATAAAATAAGCCAACTAGTCTATTTTATTATTTATCTTAATATAGTTATTTTTATTCTAAGCTTTTATTATAATAATTTTTAATTAACCTGAACTGTTATGAGTTGGTGGGTGTTTTTTTGTGGGTTCCATTTTTTGTTGTTGTTGTCATTTTGCTTTTTTTGTTGTAAGGTTTTTTGTGTCTTTTTTGTTCTTTTTCTAATGCAATATCTCTCAAATACTCATTTGCTTTCCTATCAGCCAGGTTCCTTGATACCTGCAGTAACTCCAGCAGCCACCCAGCACATCCATTCCTTTCTCCAGCAGTGACTTCACTTGCCTTGAGCTCAGATTGCTGGAGCTGGGCCAGCCTCTCTCCTTCCCTTTGATATTTCAGCTGATTGTAAAGCCAATTTGATGGTAATGTCAATGCAGAGGCCACTGTGGAGGTGACATTACAATTGTGATGTCAAACTGAGGAGGGTGACAGTACCTGAATGTTAAAAGAATGGTTAAAAAAATGCCAGTGGAAAGCTGCAAATATCATTGTGTCAAGATAATGTCAGAGCTACTCCAGTTCTGCTTTATTAACACCCCAGTTTGATGTCAAAATAAAGGTGCAGAGGTGTCAGCTCAGGTTGATGAGGACAGTGTGGAGCAACAAATTAATGTGTAGGGAGAGCATGGAAAAGGGAGAGAAAATAAAATGTAATTTAAAAAATATTGGTGTAAAAAAAGTAATTGAAGTATGACTTGAGCTAACATTACTCTGCTTGATGTGTGGCAGGGATGGCTGAGACACCCCTGTGGGGCAGAGGGACATGTGGGCACCCAGGATGGCATCTGGAGCCACATTCTTGCTGGGATGTGGGAACCATGGGCAGGAGTGAAGGTACCTGGGGTAAAATTGGAGGGAAAGGGGACCAGGGAGGGCAGTGGGGACATGGAGCAAGGCAGGGACCAGGGACCACAGGCACATCCATGCTGGGCTGGCAGAGATATTAGAGGCTTCCATTTAAGCCAGAACCAAGAGTGAAAGCAGAAAGACCTAAAGGGAGCAGACTTTAAGCCAGAAAAGAAAAGCGTTAGAGATGTAATGCCTTTTCCTTTGAAGTAGACTCCTGTTAAATTTCACTAGACATCAGTTGATCTCAGGAGCTGCATCTCAACTTCAATTCATTGATGCTACAAACTCCACAGGTGGAGCAGAGGGAAGTGAATGTGTTTGCAAATGTGGGCACAAAGTGAGGCTTTGGTTCCTGAGACATCAAGTGCTAATGATCCTGCTTTAGACTAATTACAACCTACAAGGACTGCAGGGGTGGGAACTCATTAATTTTGTTCACCGGTGTTGGTCTTTGTGCCTCTTCCAGTGTTGGCAAGAATCACACTTGTTCTCATTTAGATCCTTCATTCTGGAGAAGTTCTATGGGTTTGGTTTGGCTTTGAGTTTCCTAATCTCCAGGAAACAACTGGAGTGAAATCAGAAGTGGATAATTGATCCTTGGCTGCTGCTGGGTGGAGCTGGGAGTGTGAGCAGGCTCCAGTGAGCCCCAGCATGGGCAGCAGTGGCTTCCCAAGCTCACATTGCTGCAGCTGAGGTGAAACACTCCCCCCAGCCCCCAAAAATGACCTAGAGCTGCCAGCCCATGGGAAAAAATGGGTTTTGTGTGTTATTTGTGGGCGTTTGGCAAATGTAGAAACAAAACAGATTTTTGGAGGAGCACAGGACTAAAGCAAACCCTGGAAGTTTTCTGCACATCCAGAAGACCATGATACCTAATCCTCTGGGAATGGTTCCTGCAGCCTCCCTATGTCAGCTGGTAAATATTCACATTTAAAAATCAATATAATATAAAATATAAACAGATTATTAATGATGACCTGTTGGAAAGTAGGGAGGGCTGCAATTAATTGCATTTTAGCAGCAGCAAGTGAGGGACACAATTCTGTTTCTCTTCTGGAGAAAATGCCAGAGGAGGCATCTGAAGCCCAGCTACTGTGTTGGTTTTTTCCCTGGCAGAGGTGGTGACTTGGCTCTGCTCCCCAGCACTTGCACTCTTCTGTATTTCTTTCAGAGCAGCCTCAGCATTTACCACAAGCAGATTAACCTCACTCTGTGGCTCCCTGCTTGCAGAACATTGCTCTGCAAAAATCCATCCCAGTCAGAGTAACCCAGAGAGGGGGAGGCAGCACTGCTCTGCTCTCAGCTCAGATGGGAGTTCAGCAAAGAGCTTTCCTCAAGCAGGATCTCCTCACCAATATTTGGGCTCTCCAGCCTGCATTGCCCCAGTGTGCTGAGAGCACAGGGACTGGGGAGGGGGCTGCAGAGCCAAAACCTGGGAATGCCACCAAAGGCACCCTCTGAAAGCTCCCCAATTCTGGGGGGGCAATCGTGGAACACAAGAGCTGAATGTGTGAGGTTTGGCTGGCTGCTTTATTTTTCAGTAGAATCCCACCCTGCTGTGTGTACTGGCCATCCCTGCTGCCCCTGGGAGTGACCCAGAGCTCTGAGCTCCCAAAATACTGCAGGCGGTGCTGGGGAAAGCGATCCTGGCCCTGTGAAAGCTGAGCTGGGCTGCAGACAGATGCACAGCCTCTCCTTTCCCTTTGGAAACAGGCACTGCCCGTGTCTGTTGGTTCTCTCATTCCAAGGAAATGCCACATCCTCTTTTTCCCCCTTCCCAAAGCCTGTCTGTGCTTCCCCCTCCTCAAACATCACTTCTCCCAACACCCCTGCTCACAGTGGGGCAGCCACAGCTCTTGGGGTCACCATTTACCCATAGACTTGCTCATAAATGTGGGAAAAACATTTCTTTATTTCAAAAGGAAGCAGCTTTGGGCCTGAGCTTTAAATGAATTCACTACCTTGTGTCAGAGGCGTGTGAGAAGACGAATCCTGTGGCTCCCTGCAGACGTGCCAGTTCATGGTGAGCCTGGGAGAGGTGGGCAGAGCCAGGCAGCCAGAACTCATCCTTGAGACAGTCTGGAGGCTGAGGAGCTGGGAGGTGAAGCTGAAAGAAGTGTTTGAAGAAGGAATCCTGTCTGTGATGCGGGGATGGCTGGGGCTGGCTGGGGGGGGAGAGGCTGCTCAGCTGCTGACCCAGCAGCGTTTGGCACTGCTGGGTTTTGTGGTGCTGATCAGAGCAGCAGCAGCATGTGGGGCCAGCCTTCCTTCAGGCAATATGGGAGAGATCAGGGAGAGGAGGAGGCTCCAGGTGAGCTCATAAGAAAGCTCAAAAGCTGGAGGAAGGCTCAGGCTCAGGGAGGTGCTTCAGAACACTCTGGGTTGTTTTCCTCAAGGGTGGTTTGCAGTGGCCTCTGGTCACCACACCAGGCACAAACTGGGCACTGAGACCACAGTGGGTCTCGTATGGGACAGGTTTAACTGGGAATGAGGTTTTTCTTAATTTCCAACCAAATAACTGAAAATATCATGAAGATAGCTTATCTTGGAGATTCTGTGGTCTCTGGGACCACAAGAATAATTTTATCTCCTCTGAAATACTGGTGCCCAGTAACATGGCCAGCTTCAATCAGTGAAAAACATGAAAAAAACCCCTGAAATCTCAGCTCCAAGAATTTGGAAATTAAAAATCTATATACCTCTCTCCACACAAAACCAAGTACATTTAAAATGGTTTATTTAAAAAGTAAGGATTAAGTACATTATACATGGTTGTGATTATACCAGTAGAACTGAAGCACAGTGGAAATAACACTTTAAAACTGCAGACAGAAATGTAGCCTCAAGGGACATGATATATTAGCCCTTGTGGATATGTGATCCATACAGAGAGAAAAAGAAACAGAAAAAATAGTTTATTGTTAGATGTCTGGGCAGCTGAAGTGATTTCTCCTTTTACTCCTATTGTGTATGAGAAACAAGGAAGAGAGAGCTCATGGTATACCTGAAATTTTGTTTCTTGGAAAATCAAATCTGATCCAATAGTTTTTTGGTTTTTTTTGGTTTTTTTTTTAGTTCTGTTTCTACAGTGTGTTATATACCAAAAGACTGATAATTGCTAATGATATGGTTTTACGGTATCTGCAGGCCTTGCTGGGAAATGGGGCTCATTTGTTAGATGCTGTCCAGGGAAACCAGAGAGATGTGGAAGAACAGATAATTTTTTTTTAAACTATCACTGGCTGGTTTCAAAGGCTGAGCACAATCTGACTCTGTTCAGATAGATCAACCACGGAGCAAGACTGCTCATGGGCAGGAATGCTGCAAATTTTTCAGTTTTGTCAGAATCAAAGTTTTTAATGGGAAAGGACCAGGGTTTTGAGTTTTTTGAGGTTTTTGGTGGGTTTTTTGTTGTTGTTGTTTGTTTGTTTTCTGGAATTATCATATGAATTTTTTTGTTTTTGGCTTTGGTTGAACAATTTGCTGCACTGCAACTTAACTGCTGAGTTTTCAGTCACAGTCCTTGTTGTGTCACAGGACAAAAACTCTGGTGCCTGTTATGTCCACATGACTTTGTTCCCTGTCCAGACCTCATGAGCATCTCATGATCTCCACTCCAGCTCCATTTCTTGAAGGTGCCTGCTGGAGAAGGAGCAGATGCTCCAGTTTGGACCAAATCAGGGCATCACTCCTGGAGAGCTGCTGGACCCAGCCCTGCCCCGGGGGAGGAGGCAAAGAACAACATCCCAAAACGCTCAGCAAGACTTTCTCTGCCAAAAATACTGCACGTGCCTCTGCAGGGCTGAGCTGGGCTGAAGAAAATCCTTGGACTTTGTCTGGAATCAGATGGGTGGTTTGAAGCACATTCACTGGAGAACGACGACTAAAAGAACAAAACCCACGCGCGAGCAAACCTGACACTGTCCACTTCCAGTTCAAGGTACATGAGATTAGAGAAACAGCCTATATCTAACTCCTGGTTTGAAAGGGAATGGTTTTATTCTTAATTACAGGAAACACGGATGAGGACTTAGTTCTAACTATTAGTTTTTTAACACAGTGGGAAACAAATAGTTCTGGGAAATTGCACTTGAAAAATACATTGACTATAATTAGATGTAAATTAATTAGCACTTAGTATGACACACTAATGAGACAGAAGGTTGGATTTTTTTTCATTGCAAACTTCTACTTCTATCATAGCTAATCAAAGTATTTTAATATTACGAAGTCTCAAAAAGTAGGAAATAATTTATTGTTTGAAAGCATAAAGATTCTTGTAAAAAAAACCTTTCATCAAGAACTTTAATAATTTTAGAACCCTTTTATGTTGTCCTAGCCGAAAAGTAGGTAAAAAAGTTTTCTTTTCTGCCTCTGTTTGAATTTTTTTTAAAAAGCTTGTGTAACATCTTTCTCCATAGTGTGTTGATACAGAAAGTAGCACAACATTTTCTAGTTTTAAATCATTCCCATCGCTCCATTCGCTTTAGCTCTCAGAGTTCAGAGGTTTGAAAAAAGGATCCCAGCGGAGTTTTAACCTGAATGGAAACTCTTAATGAGCAGGGATGAAGGCTCCAACCCACCCCTGCCAAAATAACGATGTGGCTGTGCCAGGCTGAGGGCCAGGCAGAGCTTAACAGTGACTAGGGGAAGACTCTCGCTTAAAATTGAGAATTGTGTCTTGGTTCTTGCAAGGAGAGAGGCTTGAGTGGGTTTCTCTGGGGGGAGAGGGGTTCAACTTCCTTTTTGGGATGTTAAGGCAGCTGCTCCGGGATTTCCCTGGAGGACTTGGTTCCACTAGCTGAAAGCCTCGTATCCAAACCACCACTGAGTCTCTGGCCCTGGGGCCATCAGAGGATAAATTAAGACTAAAGAGGTTTTAACAGTTTGGCTGAGATCTCCCACTACCAGTGACCCAAACTTTCCAAATTATAGATTTTTTTCTTGTGGAGTGTTCTGCTAGCAAAGATTTTTCTGGGCAAAGATGATGGGGATATTCAAAGGAATCTATAGGAATTAGATGCTCCTCTCTCACTGCATCTAATTCATCTGAGGGGAATCGGGCACCTCATTCTCATATGGCTTGGTCGAGTGGTCACTAAAATCAGCATGAGTACTATTAAATGAAATTACCTTTGAGTCAGGCCATCGAGCTTTGAGATCCAAGCCTAAGTATAAAAACTGAAAGCAGGAATTTATAAGAAAAGAAAATAATATTCAGACTCTTTTAGAAACAGACAGAAGCACAGGGTACAAATTAGTTCCCTCCTTACGTGATGCATAGAGTTTGCTGTGGGCTCTCTGCACGTAAGTAGATGCATCATTACAAAATAAATTAAATTAGGTCAAACCACCATTTCCATCTAAAAGCAACTATACCTTGCACCATGCGGCACTTAATTCATAATAAAAAGAGTTTAATAAATATCTCATAAACGGTGATTATTTTTTTCTTTTTTTTTTCTTTTTTTTTTTTTGTTCTGTTTTAAAAAATACAAAGTTGTCATCTGCTCTGCTGACACTCGGCTCCCGTTGCTGCGGGAAGGTTCGCGAGTCCGGGCGCATTCTCGTCTGGTTGCTCAGAGATCTCCGTTTCCCATTCCCTCCTGGTTGCTCAGAGATCTCCGTTTCTGGTTCTCTCCTGGTTGCTCAGAGATCTCTGTTTCCCATTCTCTCCTGGTTGCTCAGAGATCTCCATTTCCATTCTCTCCTGGTTGCTCAGAGATCTCTGTTTCCCATTCTCTCCTGGTTGCTCAGAGATCTCCATTTCCATTCTCTCCTGGTTGCTCAGAGATCTCTGTTTCCATTTCTCTCCCGGTTTCTCAGAGATCTCTGTTTCCAGTAGCGTTAGTGTTGCACTTGTGAAGCGTAAGGGAATCGGGGAATCGGCGGCGGCTCTGCTCCCGCCGCGCTCGGGCAAATCTCCAGGGGCTCCTGACAGCCAGCACTCAGCACCTTGCCGGATCAGGCACTAGGGCTCGTCAAAATGAGAATTCAAGTTTTCTAAACGTTAGGCAAGAAATGATGCTTGCAAATAGGCTCAAGTCCCACCTGCTTTAATCTGTTTCCCTTTCCAGGTGTTTCAAGACGCACCCACCCTCTGCTCCTCGGCCTGTGTTGCCCCAAGGGATGCCTTACCCCAGGAATGGGAGACCCCCTTCCCACCCCCATCAGAGAGTCTGTAATGCTCAGTACGTGGGTGCTCTACGGTTTCAGTGGCACAGGTCAGTTTTAGAAAGTGTTGCCTTCAAAAATATTTTCTTTTTTTTTTTTTTCTCTTTTTCTTTTTTTTATTTTGAAAGAGGCAAAGCTTACGCCGTGTTGAAGGAAAGTGGCTCACTTGATGAGTAGCTCATTTTCATCCTTGGGCTTGGTTATAAATTATATTTGCAAGTTTGTATTAAGGGATCTCAATATTAGAAAAAAAAAAAAAGTACAACAAATTTTCTGTAATCCTTTAAAACACACTGGTGGCCAGTCCTTTGCAGTTTCTCCAAGACTGTGTAGACACTACAAAAGTGCAGGAACATGAACTGCCTTCATCTTGTGACACCAAGAACGGAAATAAACAAACTCCAAATAGCTTCAAAAAAAGCTACGAGCGTGTAAATATCTTTATGTTGGTCCAGAGGACCTCCACTTGCTACCTCAACACATGCCACAATTAAAGAGGTGAGAGGGTATTTTAACATCGCTCCTGACAGATCCATTCTGCTTGGGTATCTCTTCAAAAAGCACGAGGAAGGAAGGTGCTTCACACCGGCGTCGTTCTCCTGTTGACCATGTTGACGTGGAGTCCTTCCTTAAACTCCTTCTGGAGGAAGTTGTGGACCTGCAGGAAACTGGCTTCTTGGTCTGCGTTGTAGCTGGCAGCCGTGGTCACCTTCAAAGGCTCCCTGGAAAGGGTGTACATGGAGATTTCGTTCATGGGGATGGTGCCTGCTATCTTCATGCCAACTGGAGAAATGTCCCTGGATGGAGAAGGCTCCGTGGAGCGGGAGCTGGATCTGGACCTCCGCCTCCTGTACCTATAGCTTGGCATCCTGGCATAAGGAGAACTGGAAGAAGTCTTAAGGAATTCCCTCTTGGTCTTAAACCTCAGCTCCTTGTTCTTCTCAATATAAATGTTCACAGCCAGAACACCTATAGTTTCGGCCACAATAAAAGACAAGGCTCCAAAATAAAAAGACCAGCCATAGTTGTAATGGTTCTTTTTGTCCTCATCTCGCTTGTCACTTGGGTCACCTGCATTGCTCGATATGTAGACAATGATCCCTATGATATTACTGAGACCTGGAGGAAGAAAAACATAAATCAGTGTTTATGTGGCTGGGGAGATAAAATTCAAGCCGTGTTACTTTCTGGACCTGAATGGTTCTAACACTGGGACAAAGAAATTTTATTACATTTATTTACTCTTACATTTATCTCAAGGATTCATTTATTCCTGAAACACAACCAAAAGATCAACATATGGAGCACGTGTGCTCACATGGATCCTAAAATACTCAGCAGGACTTTTCCCCATCTCTTTGCTGCCACAGTGGAAAAGCAGCAGCTTGTGGGAGCTCACTAATATTGTGAGCAGGATTCTAACATCCAGAAGAATGATAAAAATACATTTGGAGCTCAGGGCTATGGCTGTTCACCTTGATCAAAATAAGTTCTCTTCCACCTTGCTGAATTTTCATCTAAATGCTGCATGCTTAATCCAGGCTGCAGGGAGAGCTATTAACAATGGGGCTGACTCTCTCAGATGTTTCTAGTGTGAAAAACGGGCTCACCTATCAGAGGTGAATGTTTTCTGCCTTCATATTTACAAAAAAAGGCCCTAGGTATAAGAGATGCCTGATTCATCTAATGTTTAATACATTTTAAATAGTGTAAAACATGCTTGTTACTGAATTTCACTTCTTTCTACAAGAAAACCAAAAACTTTTCTAGAATATACTTATTGTGGGGCTTCAGGAGCATAATTTTGTCTTGAGAAATTTGCCTGCTGTGGTGCTGTTAATGCCCTCAGCCCAGGAAAGGGATGCAGGGAAAGCACTGCCAAGGAGCTTTTCCAGAGTCTTTTCCATCTGAAAACAGCAGCACTTCTTAAGAACTCAATTTAAACAGAACATACCTGCTGCAACAAAGAGAATCCCAGCGCTGAGAATAATGTTGTTTTTGCTGTTGTAAATCCTTCCTGCTCCGACACAGAGTCCTCCCAGCAACAGCAAAATTGTGCTTAGGATGGGGAACACGCTGGAGGCACGGACGATGCCTGCAGGGACACAGGTAGGGAGGGAAGACAGAGCAATCATTCTGGGTGCCTCCTCAGGTGCAAGTGTGGAGATTAGAGTCTCAAAAGCCCTGGTTTTTTCCTAAAATTGTTAAGAAGAATGATTTAATAGAACCAGAGGATTGTTCAGGTTGAAAAAGACCTTTTAGATCATCAAACCCAACAGTGAAACCAGCACCTCCACTAAACCATATCTTAGAGTGCCAGCCACATCCACACATTTTTGAACATACTCAGGGATGCCTGTTCTAGTGCTTCATAACCCTTTCAGCAAAGAAATTTTTCCTAATATCTAATTTTTTATCATTTTTAATTCCTTTTTCCTAGAATTATCACTGGTTCTGCATTTCTGGGTGTGTTTCTGGGACGAGGGAGCCATGACGTGACCAGTGTGACAAAGACTCAACAGAGTGGCTTCAATCTTTTGAGCTTTCTCCCAGGAAGTCCAGCATTATTGGCATTTTCTGATGCCACCATGTGCAGAATATTTCTGGCAAAGCATGAGGTAAGTGACAGTAAGACCCAGCACCACGCAGGGAGCAGCAGTGAAAAATTCATGAGCTGGCTATGAACCCTACAAGGTTTGGGACAGCTGGAGCAGACGGATCTGTTCCGTGGTGCACACACAAGGTGAGCAAATTACAGCTCTTGAAGTCAGCAGCATCCATGTTGCCAGCAAGAACAGCTAATAACCCCTTTTTCTTGTAGTGGATATTAAGGACATCGAAACCTTTCAGATTTCTAAGGAAGGAATTTTAACAAGTGTGTTTTAGATGTTTGTGTTTAGTTCCCTGACAGCAAAGTAGTCATTTAAAATTCTGCATGCTTCAGTCCATTCATCAGCGTATAAAATCCCCCACAAAAATATTAAAACAGCACTTCAAGCCAGCTTTCAAAGTCGGGTCACAAGAAGACAGAGCAGCAATCGACAGGGAAGCGGCAGGGAGGGAACAAAAGGGCTGAGAAAAAATAAACAAGCATGAGAAGAGAGTAAAAACCAAAGGGGTAGAAGCTGCCAGGGGTTCCTGAAAGGCAGAGTGAGGAGCTGAGTTTTATTGCTGTAGAGAGAGGATTTATGTTTTGAAGAAGGGGAGATAAGGCGCTGAACGCTGCTGTGGAAAATGGGATCGCCCTGAAGCCGGGAAAAGGCGAGGGCAGGGAGGGGAGCCCCGGCAGAGCGAGGGGCGCCAGGCTGGGGGGATGCCAAGGCGAGGGAGGGTCAGCGGCTGCTGTGACAGCGGCATGGAGCCCCTCAGCACCGCGGGGCGAGCGGAGAGGAGCCAGCGCCATCTGGGCCGTGCGGGGCCGGGGGCGCCGCGCTCCCTCCGGGCGCATCCTGCTGGCTGCCGCGCTGGGAGCGGCAGGAACGGGCAGATGTTCCAGCTGCTGCTTTCCCATTCGCTGCCCATGGCCCTGGCGTTCCCGACTCACTGAATCGCTTCCTGACGATTCCCCTGGTAACTGGTGGCAGAGCTCCAGTGGCTGCGGAGGGACGGGGATGGGGGCTCCGCTCACTGAGCCCCGCTCCGCCCGGGGCTGGCTCCGGACACAAACCCAAAAAGACAAAGGCAGCGCCTGCCTGCGAAGCTTCTGCCTGTATGGATCTGTAAGAGCGAGAAAAGTCCATCCTTTCCCAAACTGGCAGCGTCGCTGCACGTGTCCTTCACAGCTGGGGCATTTTCCAGCCGGATCTGAAGCCGGGCCAGGCGGGCGCATTGCTATTCAGGCAGCGTCTGGCAGGAACTGCCAAACGCCACCGATGGGAGTGGGTGGAAGGGCTCTGGGCAAAGCCTGCTGAGAGGTGAGAGCCTGTTCCCTTGGCCTGGGTGTATTCCAACATGTGTGCTAGGAATTAACAGCACTTGGCTTTTGGGTCAGTTTTTTTCAGTCAATTGTTAGGAAAAGATTCAAAGTCAGTCTCTGCTGCTGGACTTTAAGGCACCCCAAATCTCTGTCTGTCTGTTTTTGTGCCCTGGCTAAAGGCTTAAAATCGCCTCTGGGCCACCCTTTCTGGATATTGTTTCCTGCACTTTATGGTCATGCTGTTTATAATGATTTCAGTTAAATCAAGGAGCTTTCCCAAAATGCTTCAGTAATATCATTGGAAGGAGCTTTGGTCAGTGATATCATTGGTCAGACGCACCAAATATATGGGATGGGTTGTTCTATTTGTTCTATTTCTACTAATAAATTTCAGAGATAATTTTTCTATAGTAGGTAATTAATGAGAAGAGAAACAAAACACACAGTGTTCTCTTCCTGAAAAATCCCACAGTATATTTCTTTCTTACAATGTGTACTTTTAGCTCTGAAATTTCAAAGGAAGCTCATAAGGTACCACGTAGAATTTACATATGTCTCCTGATACTGGTAATAAAGTGACAGCACATCAAAAAACATTAAGGCAATCTGGTTTTTGCTTTCTCCCTGGCTTTTCTCCCCCCCTTGTTTACCGTCCTGTCGGTTTGCATCGCCTGCTGCGCACCGCTATGTGCGGTGACACCTCCTCCGGTGGAGCCGCTCCTCCCCATGGGGCTGCAAACCCTGCTCGGCTCGGGCTTTTCATCTCCGCAAAGGCGGGAGCCGAGGGAACGGCTTTGCAAAGAGGATGCTCTGACATGCAGGGAGGAAGGGCACGAACGTGTGGAGATGCCCCCGAAGCGGGGTCCCCCTGCTCGGAGCAGCAGAGCCCCGACATCCCCAGCGCACAGCGAGGATGAGATGGATCCCCCTCCTGCAAAGGGAGAGGAGCCGGTGAATCCGGGCTGGATGGGAACAGATCGGGTTTGGTGCGCCCAGAGAGAGCAGGGAGAGCAGGGAAGGAGGAGAGGAGGGAAGGAGGAGAGATGGAAGCAGGAGAGAGGGAAGCAGGAGAGAGGGAAGCAGGAGACAGGGAAGCAGGAGAGAGGGAAGCAGGAGACACCAGGGAAGGAGGAGACCAGGGAAGCAGGGGAAAAGGAAGCAGGAGAGAGGAAAGCAGGAGATGAGGGAAGCAGGAGATGAGGGGAAAGGAGACACCAGGGAAGCAGCAGACAGGGAAGCAGGAGACACCAGGGAAGCAGGAGAGAGGGAAGTAGGAAAGAGGGAAAAGGAGACACCAGGGAAGCAGGGACAGGGAAGCAGGAGATAGGGAAGCAGGAGATAGGGAAGCAGGCACAGGAAAGCAGGGACAGGGAAGCAGGAGACAGGGAACCGGGGCACGTTTGCCGCTGGGGATGCGGTGGCAGCCCGGGGTCTGTGCTGGCACTGGGACATCTGCTGCTCACTGAGGCCCTGCTCAGGCATGTGAGGGGGATTATTTTAGACACACAGATGGGAGTGTGTTGCCACGGGGAAGGTTCAATAGGAAGGGTCTTGTCTGAGCTCCTCTGCATGTCTCAGCTTGTCCCACACTGTCGTTTGCTTGGTTTTGTAGGGAGCAGCTTGAACACCAAAGGGCAAAATCCAAACTCCTGCCTCTACCCACTCCCTAGACCAAAGTTTCCCAAAATCAGTCATTTTTGTCACTGATTTTCATGGGGTTTTGAACCAGGGCTCAATCCTGCAAACACTACAGTGTTTGCATTTCTCTGAAGCCCAAATTAAACTGGGGGCTGTGGAAGAGGCTGAGACCCCTCACGCTGCTCCTTCAGGAGCACAAAACACATGAGTGTGGGTGCCTTTGCCTAAGCCAGGCAGGAAAAATAAATATTAGTACCAACATGTCCCTCTGAGAAACTGTGCCAAGAAATGGCCAGAAATAGTGGAGAATGGAGCCAGTAGACTGCAGAAGTGTTGCAGAGGGCAAAAACAGGACAGAAGCTGTCACGTCCCCGTGAAACAGGATGCAAATATCCTGCGGTCTTAGACAATGATTTGGTCCTATTACATATAGGTATGAGCTCATCTCCTCTGGATTTAGACATGTTACCTTTCAGTAATCTCTAAATCAACTTTGTGCATGGGAAACTGCAGTTTTCTTATCAAAGTTAAAGCCAAGGAGCCTTGTCTCTGTGCAGACTCTGTGAGGTGAGCTCTGCTCTGCGGGGGAGACACCCGAGACTGATTTTGCAGAAGACATAAAGGGTTGGACCAACTTGTTTTTAAGATCTGTACTTAGTCACTTTTGCAAGCAGCTTTTAGGAACACCCGTCACAAGCACACTTACAAACAATTTACCAGTCTCGTAGCTTAACGTGGAGCTGGAGACTGTTTTTCCCAGTTCTCACTTTTCTCCATATAAAGAAGGCATAATGTGCTTTTATCATGATGCTACTTAATTCCTCTTTCCTTTTACTAATGATGTTTGTTTCCTAAAGCTGACTTGGCATCAATTTAACATTAGTTCCAAGGCTTTTTATGAAAGATAAATGCAGCTGTGCTCACACTCTGCCTTTGCCTGAGCTCTGAAATCATGTCACCCGGGTGCTGTGACTGATCTAAATCGACAAGAGCAAAGAGGAAAAAAACATCTGGGTTTTCTGGTGAGGCAAACTTTTCAGAGATTTTTTTCCCCTTCTTCATGTCTCAGCAACAAGAAGTTGTTGCCCAGAACTGAGCAGAAGGGCAGAGTGGTTCTCTAAGTGGTGTTTGAGGTAATTAATATTGTAATTGAGGACAACACTGCTTTGCCAGCAGCGTTGTTCTGTGCTCCCTGATTTCCCAACACCTTGCGAGCTGCAGTTCCTCTCCCTGGTAAAGGGCACTGCTTTCAGCTTGGCTGCTCAGCTCTTTTGTTCACGAGGAACAACAAGGCAAGGAGTCCTCTGGGGAAGGGGAATCTAACTCCAACTTTGCAGGCTTCATGGTTGGGTTCCAAGACTTGCCATCAGCTGAGAGAATGGTCAGGTGGAGGGGATGAAACAGCTGCCCTGATTCCAAGGCCCAGGTTGGTGGGTGGAATCCCTTCTGGGGGGAATTCCACACCAGAGTGGAGCAGCATTGGCTGGCTGGTCAGGCAGGGAAGCCATGGCCCCTGATCATGCTGGGGTTTTGCTGTTACCTGCAGAAATTTCAGCTTCCTTCCTACAGTGCAGTGATTTCACTGCAGGGGGATGTGGCTCACCAGCTGCAAAGGCTGAGGCTTGAGCAAAGGTTGGGTTTAAGCATTTGGTAAAGTTTCCTAATGGGCTGGAACCCACTCCTCAGACCTGTTTTGTTACACTAACCCTATAAATACTCCCTCTGTAAAAGACCCTTGCCTCTCTGGGCATGATAGCTGCAGTTTTCATTTGAAAATTTGTCATATGATATTTAGACAATCGTCACCAAAATTGTGAGCATTCCCCTGGAAAAAAATCCTTGAAACCCCATGGCAAGAGGGTTGGAACTAGATGGTCTTTAAGGTCCCTTCCAACACAAACCATTCCATGATTCCATGACCATGAAGTGGGGTTCCCAAGGGTGATGGTTGTGTCAGCTGCTGCATGAACTGGACACGTGGCACCACTGGGCTGTGCAGCCCAATTTGGGCCAGTCTGCAGTGAGTAAAACTGGGGTTGCCCTCTGCAGAAGAGAAGCCCAGGGAAGCCCCATATGTGTGTCAGGTGCCTGTTCACTTACGGAGAAGGTACTCTGAGCTGTCGTGGTCGTAGTCATTGTCCTCAGGGAAGTGGTTGATCCGGAAGCAATGTCCTTTGTAGATTCCTGGATGGAAACAAAGCAAACAGAACCCATAAGGAACACAACCAGGCAAATGTGCTTCTTTAAACCACCTCTAAAGTTATGAATTTTGGGCAGATTGGCTGAATGAAGGGGCAGCCAGGATTCCTGGGCTCTTTCCTTCAGTCACTTCTATCGTCCTCTTGAGATTTTTAATCTCTAAGTGCTTCACTTTATCAGTGCTGTGCTTATCTTACAAGCATACTGAGTTTGCAAAGCTTCTTTTTGTTCCCAGAGTGGCTGTCAGGCTGGGTCCCTGCTCCATGGCTGGGGCTCCCAGGGCCAATCTCGCTCCCATCACCCTTCCCATCTCACCCCAGTGAAGTGCCAGTAAATGCTGAATTGTCTGAGCCCTCTTCAATTACTCTCTAGGCTGCAAAAACAAGTCCATAAATCTCTTCCTGCTGCAGTTGAAGCCCTTGTGTCCCACTCAAGGCTGGCTCAGCTTTTAATGGCATATTTGTTTAGCTAACTGGGAGTAAAGTCGGGGCACAGCATGCACTCCTGATGCACTCCTGATCCCTGGAGGGACAGCACCAGAGCTGGCTGGACAAACCCCTCGCTCAGTTGGACACCTCAGCACTTTGTCCATGTAGGTAAAGCTGCCCATGAGCATTCTGTGCTCTTTCCTGTCACTGTTATCCACAGTGTGAGCTGCAGCTGGGTCGCTGTGGCACAGGGAGCTGCACGGGGAGCTCTCCCCAGAGAGCTTCCTGCAGGAGCGAGCCCTGAGCTCTGATTGTGCCGTGCTGCTTTCATTATTCATTAACCAGAGCTCTCCTGCTCGGGAACACATCACCCAGGCTGAGTTATCCCTGCACAGGAGCCTCAGTGCTTACAGCTCGAGCTGGCAGAAGGATTTAAAACCCATCACTTAATACTACTTTAACAGAAGCACAGCTGCAGTCTGTAGGATATAAATGTGGATTTATTTCACTACCTATTACCAATGATTACAAAAATCTCAAAAGAATTACTAATCCAGAGGATTTAAATTGCACCCTGTGAGTGTCAACTGCAGGTTTGCTACTACAGCGCATTAAATTCTTCCAGTAAATGATGTATCAGCTCTAATTGCAGCAGCAGCAGCTCAGGCTTTCTCTGCACAGCACTTCAAAGGCTGTGGGGAACAAGATGCAAGTGGCTCATGTCATATCTGGGAGTGACACACCTGTCCTGGCTGCCAGGTGGGGAGAGCACTGCAGCTGGGCTGCTCCTGCAGAGCCTGTGCATCCACAGGGGCTGCTGCTCCTCAAGGCAATGCAAAAGTCACATTTTAAAGATCCCAGTGTTTCTTTTCATGGCAGTTCACACAACTACTCCCAGCATTACAGAGCCTCTCAGACTGGATGGTCATTTCATCAAGTCTCTCCATTAAGGTGTGCAATTTACAGGAAATACAGTCAGAGTGTGATTCTCATCCTCTCTATTTATTAAGGAAAAAAAATTTCTAAATTATTTTCCCATCCTACTTTCTGTGGAAATAGGCTTCTCAATGATTGTGTTGTGTGTGTATGGGTGGGGCCACCTCAGTCTGCACACCTGGTCTGTCTGTAGGTGTTGTGTTCTGCATCCTCACACTGACAGGAGGCAGGGTTAGAGGAAATACAGGGTGAAATTCCTCCCTGTGCTCAGAGAAGCTGTGGCTGCCACATCTCTGGAAGTGTCCAAGGCCAGGTTTGATGTGGCAACCTTGGACAGTGGAAGGTGTGGGTGGAACTGGGTGAGCTTTAAGGTCCCTTTAAACCCAAACCATTCCATGATTCTGTGGTTCTCCAATAAATCTAAATAATTTTCCTCCAACAATAAAATAAATAAATGATAAATTTCCTCCAGTAATAACCTCCAGTAAAGGTTAAGGTAATTGGCTGAGTTTACCCAGAGCTGATATAAAAGCAGAGGTATGGCAGGTGACTGAGCTGCAGGGCAGGCAGGGAGAGGGAGCTCAGTGTCCCCACCACAGGCTCCTCTTGCACGTTCCCAGAGTGTGGACATGGCAACAGCCCAAACAAACACCTCCCTCCAGAAACTCCCTCAAGGGATGAGGAGTCTGCAAGACTGAAATATTCCCTCTTGTGCTGCAGCACTGATGGACTGATGGAAGGCTTTGGGCTCTGTGAAATGGCTCAACATAATTGAACTGCTGAGTGAAATGGGCCCCTCAGCAGAACTTTCAGAGAGGCCATGAAGCCATTCCTGCCCCAGCAGGGCTGGAATGCACCAGCATTGATGAGACCTTCATTTCCTGGCTCTTCTATTTACAGCCTCTCACATGAAAGAGCATTAGCAAGACTAGCAGAGGTAAAAAAACAGGCTAAACAGAGGTAAAAAAAAGGTTAATCAGAGGTAAAAAACAGGTTAATCACCTCTCTGCCCTGTGCCCCACCCCCAAAAAAAATCTGGATGAACTTGAGAGTTCCTTTCTATTTTCAGTTTTTAGGAATACTGGGATTGGTCATTATTAATTGGTCATTATTTATGTGGCTAAATTATTACAGAAATTGGAAATGACTGTGAAATTTGGAGCTGTATCAAAGCCTAGGAATTCAAAATATTCTCCCCAGTACTTTTTATGTAGTTCAGACCAGAGATACTGGTTAAGGGTCCTCTCTAGTGTCTGTGATGTTTGATAGCTAATAACAGCAGCAGACTGAATAACTTTTTTCTATAAACTTAACAAGTGCAATGTAATTCAGCAACAGCTTATTAAACTCTCAGTGAGGCTTGAAGTTGCTATCAAGAACTCTGGTGATCTACACAGTGTTGAGGCCTCTTTCAATCCACAAAGTATCTAAAATAAAGGTTTGCTAGGAAAAGTAACAATACTTCTTCATAAGGATGGACTTTGAAATTAATTTTTGGCAAAAATGAAAACTAGCTGGAGAAGCTACTGAAGCAGTGGTCAGCTCTAAAAGGTGAAAGCAGAGTCTGAGTTGTATTGATACATAAAAAATAGGAGCAAGTCAAAGCTGGGCTTTGGTGGGATATTCATCTCCATGCCCTGGCATGTAAAGCAATGCATAAAGAATAAAAGTCATGGAATGGCAGAGGTGGCAGAAAAGGAAAACCTCAATTAAACTCAGTAACAATTATTCTGCACGAGGGCTGAGCTGTTTGAAGCTTTTCTCCAAGGCTTCTCAGGAGTTGCCCTGAAGAAATGTGCAGGCAAATGTGGCCACAGGTCCACACTCACTGAGGCACACAAAACCATTTCCCACCAGGAAAGGATGGGGACAGAGATTTTCCTTCTTGCCTGAGTTTGGGGATACAGTCCCTTATATCCTTGGGAGAGGAAGATGGAATATTTGACTCCTACTGCTGTACCCACTAGAGAGGGAGATAAATAAACTGCAATCACTGCCTAACAGATACTAAAATATTGAGAAGCTCTTCTGGATACCTCTTGAGAGTGAGATATAATATCCCACTGAGATGCTGTAAGTATTACTTCTTTCTTTGAATGATTACTGATACGTTTTTAATGATGCTTTTAGAAATACAAATATTAGAATGCATTTTTTCTCCTCATAATAACAAAAACTTTGTTCTGAATTTTGAGCCAGGACTTCAGGATCTGCATTAATGATAATGAAGAGGTAAATTTTCTGAAGTGCTGTTGATGGTGTTAGAACAATTTTTTTCCACTGGTTGCAGCATACTTAGCTGGCAATTAGGAACTAAAAAGCATTTCTGACTTGGTTCTGCTCTGTGTTCAAGGGCTTCTCTGGCAAGGTTAGTACTTCCCAATCTCGCTAAGTGTTGTTCAGACAACTATAATTAGAGTGTGATGTACTCAGATAACATGATAAGGGAGGCAACTGTAGTGCCTAAGTGAAGATTAAGCTTTGTTTTGGGCTTTGAGATCTCAAAATACATAGAGATTTCAGCAGCAAATCAAAGTAGTGATCCCACATTCTGATGACATACTGCCTTCTCCTTGCTCTTTCTCAAATAATCCTTTAATAATCCTGCCTCTACCACTGCAGATTGTTCTTTGGGTTTTTATTTTTTGATGATTGAGAGTGAAGATAAATGCTTAGGATGCAAATGACGATTAATTTGGTAGCCATGCATGATCCTGTTATTGTCCATACCATCAGCCATGTCTGAGAACAGCCATTTCCTGTGGTTAGTGTTTATCAATGCCAACATTCCCTGATGCCCTGGAAGTGTTTGCACCAACCAGCACTGGAAAACAGAGTCCTCAAATGTCTGACATTATTTGTCAGTACAAGGCTGTAGTTTTGTTTTCTCCCTGCCCTAATCTTGAGAACTCTACACAACAAGATCTTCCCATAGCACTACTGCTGTGTTGTCATTTGAAATAGGTTTCCAGCACTGCAGACTGGAGCAGCTCTGCAGCAGAGGGCCCTGTCTGCAGGGGACTTCTGTCAATAGGGATTTGTGTCTGGCCGTGCTGAGCAGGGCTGAGGGAGGGATATCTGATAGCAGGGGGGAAGAGGGGCTGGGCTGCTCCCTCCTGCTCCATCACATCCTGCACCTTTAACCCTCTCAGCTGCCAGCCCTCCTTATGCAGAAAACACTGGGTTTGGGACATGGCGGAGAAGCCTCTCTTGTTTCCTCATGGGACACCAGACATTTACAGTGTCTTGGATCAAACCCTCCCCTGCCAACACACCCCATTGCTGCAGCTCTCCAGCACACACATGCACACTATTAATAGTGTGAAGCAGGGGATTCTCCCAGAGTTGCACTGGTGGGATGAGGGCTGTGAATTTCAGCTGCAGAAGTGGCCACTTGGCTTCAGCAGTCACTCGCAGGCAGGTAAATACACCCACAGCCATCCACCCCAAAACCTCACCAAGCAGCCCATTGCTTCCTGGCAAATGTGGGACTTTTGGAATGGTTTGGAGACATGAAATGAAATCATTTTCAGGATCATTTGACAGCAAGTGCTGTCAACACCTTCCACTATCCCAGGCTGCTCCAAACCCATCCAACCTGGCCTTGGACCCTTCCTGGAT